CGGCCTCGAGGAACACCTGGACGCATGCGGGACCCATGATCGCCTCGGGAGTCTTGTGCTGCATGGAGTCGGCGCGGTGCAGGTCGCGTAGCTTCTGCGCCTCCAGCGCGTAGGCCTTGCCCGCTGTGAAGGACGCCTTCACCAACTCGGCGCCGTCGTTCATGAGCAGCGCGTGGTAGTTCGTCGACATGAGCTGGCGAGTGTTGAAGCTGTTGCCCAAGACCGCCTTCGCGATCACTGGGGTGAGAGCGCCAGCTGCATCTCCATGGTCGGTAGCTTGTCCAGCGTGTCCTTCGGGAGCCCGTAGGTCTGGCCGATCTCGGCTTGCGCCGTGCGGCGATCGCCGCGGGCGCGAGCACCCCGCGCTGCGGCATCCACGGGCATGGGCACTGCGTCGGCGGCTGGCCGCGCGGCCGCGGCACCGCGCTCGCCGCTGCGCCCTCCGCCTCGGCGACGGCGCACGTGGGCCCCACGGCTGGCACTCTCGGGGCCATCTCGGCCATCTCGCCCAGGCGCGGCTCGGCGGCTGTGGGATAGAGATCGGCCCTTGGCCTGCTCCAGTGCCTGCGAGCTGAGACGGAAGGCCATGAGCGTCGCCACCGCCCACAGGAGCCCGCCGCACGGCCCGAGGAGCGCTCGGGGCGTTCGCATGCTGCTCGAGCAGATGCGTCTGCAGATCTGCTAGGGTCTCGAAGGGCTCCCCAATCGGACATGCTAGCTCCAGAGACTGCGAGCCAGGGCACAACGCAGACCTTGTTATCGAAGCCAAGGGACACACATCAGTGATGGGGGCATGACCACCTTGTGGTAGAAGGGGGGCCGCTGGACAGGGCATCGACGAGTCAGGCATGCGGTCGCGGCGTGCTCTTGCGCAATCCGTCTTGTCCTGAAGGTGCTGGAACAGTATACGCATTGGTTGGTAATGATGGGGGAATGAATGATGAACCGACATCCGTGGCCAGAATTTTTCTGGAACTTCTGATGGGCAAGCAGCGCCCGTCTCGTGGTGAACTCGCGCCCGCACATGGCGCCCTCGGCACCGAGCAGCTCGCAGCGCCATATGGCTTGCGGCGGCGGAGGGGCCTCCCCCGTCGCCAACGGTGGCTGCCAGCCAGGCGGCGGGATCGCCACCGCGCGCGCCTGCGCTCTCAGCATCCCAGGGTCGTGCACGAGGTAGCGCTCCCGCAGGTCGTCGTTGAAGAACAGCGCCGCGACATTGAGCGAGCCCTTCGCCGTCTGCAGGTCCTCGCGCAGCTCGTCGTCGCCCGCGGCCGTCCGCAGCGTCTCCACGTTTTCGACGAACCGCAGCGCGTGCGGGTTAGCGTCCGTGGCCACCGAGCCCTCATCGTCGAGCGTCGGCGTCGGCTCCAGCGGAAGCTCGCCGAACATCACCGCGAGCTCTTGCGGGTGTCGATCAGGGGCCCGAAGCCATCGCTGATATTGACGGAGTCGGCGAACTCGTAGTTCCGTAGTCGTGGGGGCCATCCCGAGCCGCTTCAGCACCGCAACGTCGGACATCGCCTTGTAGCGGACGAGCAGCTTGCCGTCGTCGTCGACCTTCTGAACGCCCGCGTCGTCGAGGAGCGGGATCTTCTGGCAGGCGGCCCCCTTCAGGAGGCGACGTCCAAGACTGGAGAGCACCTTGTCAATCTGCATCTGCTGCGAAACGCTCAGGACCAGGACGTCGAGCCCACTCAGCGCGGCCTCCTGCACGACAGACCCGAACACGATCCTGGTCAGGCGCCAGATGCGGTTGCGCGCCCAGAAGCGGCCCATGCTGCAATATCCCCTGCGGGCAGCTTGCAGGCGTCGCCGAAGCTCAGCCTGCGCGCCCCCCGTGATAGAGGCATGGATTCCCAGCGCGATGTTGTCGCACTGCACGACCCCCGCGATGTTCTCGGCACCGCTGAAAAGCTTCCTCGTCTCGTGCTGGGCGCCACAGCCCACGAAACAAGGCGATGCCGAGCTCTTGGACGGGTTGTGCGTGTAGCCGTAGGGCCCCAGCGCACGTCGAAGCTCGCAGTGCGAGTGTCTGGAGACAAAGCCCGCATTCCTGGCAGAGGTGACAACGCTAGTGCGGTTGGTGTCGTCCGCGTAGATCCGCGCCCCGAGCGGGGCAGCAACCTCCAGGAGCGGGCGCCACGCTGTACAGATCATCTCGCTCGGCCAAATCGCGGTGTCGATGTCGGCTCGGGGCGTCGGAGGTAGAAGTTGTTGACTCTTCCACTCGCGGCGGGAGGTCGGTTGGTCAGGCATTTCGCACGTAGCCCAGGCCGCTCCTCGAAGTCGCTGGAGCCAGTCAGTAATAGGTACACGGAAGGTCCTGGCGAAGAAGAGCGCCGCGGGGGTGTCGCCCATGAAGGCTCCGCATCGGTTGCGCACGTCCTGGTCGCCGTCGGCCCCCCCCCCGCGCAGAAGGTGCTGAGCTCGTGGCGCCGGTGGAAATACTCCTGCTCCTCTGGGCGCACGGCCGCCGTGACCGTCTGGCGCAGGGCGGGGAGGGTGGAGGGCCCGAAGGCGTTGCTCATGTCCTCCTTGGTGGTGAGGGTGGAGATGCCAAGACGACGCAGTCGCCCGAGCAGCCCCTCCCGGCAGAGAAGTGCGCCCTCACGGTTACGTCCTCGCTGGTGCCCGTGTTCTCTAGGCGGGGGGGCATCGCGCGCAGCGCGCTGGAGTTGCGCCTTGAACCATGAAGTGCCGACTCGGCACAGGCCGTGAATGAAGCGCTTCGCGTGAAAGCCAGTCTTCCCGTTGTGCTTGTCGAGGCCTGTGGTGAAAGAGTGATGCCAGATCAGAGGAACGCGTTGCACGCGTCTGACGTGGGCCAGGATATCCTTGAACGCTCGCTCGGTGATGGGCGCGTCGATCTCGTCAGCGTCGTGCCGGAGCCCACGCCGATCGCCTGCGAGCCGATGTCGAGGCTGAGGCGCGGCTCGAGGCGACTCGTCCTCCCCTTCATCCCCAGGGCGTCGAGGCCGCCGTCTGCGTCGGCCACCATATCGACGCCGCGGTTCCAGGGCAAGCCGTAGAACTTCGGTCGGCACACTGTGAGGCGGAGCAGCTCGGCGACGGGGAGACCTCGAGATCACCTCGATCAGCTTCTCGAAGTCCTCCCGTGCGGTCTCGAGGCGGTCGTGCGCGAACATCGGTGCCCTCGGCAGCGCCTCCAGGTAGGTCTGACGGTACTCTTCAAAGTTGATCGGGACCGCGTCGAACCCGCCACTGGCGCCGTCCCGCTGGAAGTGCCGCACGATCTCAGCGCGCCGAGGGAGGAAGCAGGCTCCGACGTTGTAGCGTCGTCGCCTCGGCCCCTTGCACTGAGCCGCAAGCTGATGTCCCAGTCGCCACACCTCTGCGAAATGCCTTTTTTTTTCTGCCAGGCCTCATACATATCGTCAACGATCATCTGCACCTCGGTCTCGAGCCAAGCCTTGCGATGATGCCGTAGTCGGCGGGAGGCTCTTGCCAGCTCCATCTCCACGGTGCTGGGGTCGCCATGCTCTCGAAGGTCGCGTCGTTCAGCCAGTGCACGGAGACGCTCGCCCCTAAGCGCTTGCACTCGAGGGGGGACGGGGGCGCGTCCAGCGAAGTGACGCTCGGCAAAAGTCGACACTTGCGTCATCCAGCGCTCCCAGGCTTCGTCAGGAGCCTTGGCGTCGTACAGCTCGTGGAAGTAGTCGGGGTGGTTGCTGAAGGCCTCCTCCAGGTCACGCGCGAAGGCCGCCGCGCCCGTGCCGTGCTGCAGTGCCTGCCCCAGGCGGTGGAAGCCCCACGTCTTCCTCGGCCGTGCCTGAGGGGCCTGCAGTGTGTAGGCGACCTTCATCAGAACGGGGACGTGGTCCTGTAGCCCAGGTCGCGGTATGAGCTTGAGCCGTCTATTGGCACTCTTCAACGGCATCACCGTCGTCACCGAAGGCGTCTGCCACGCGAAGACGGCAACGTGGTCGATGAAGGAAGCCGACTTCGCGCCGTGGTACGTGGGACCCACCTCGAAGTCGCGGGTGACCACGCGGAGCGCAAAGCGCTCCATCAGTTCCAGCATCTTCTCCGAGGCGTAGTGCTGAACCTGATGTCCGTGCGGGCCCAGCGCATCCGAAGTGACCGTCTGATACGCTTGATGGCCCTGATATCGTAGCCCCAGTCCGTCGTTGAGGTCGAATGCGAAGAAGAGGGCCGAGCGCACGCGCGCCCATGTCAATACTTTCTCTACCCACTCCACCATGGCGTCGACCGTGGCCCTGTACGCATGGTGTTGTTTATTCACCGTCGTGGTCTCTGTCGCCTGCCTCCGACTCGTCGGCCGCGGAGCGAAGTAGGCCATGGGCACAAGGATGTCGAACCTGCCGCTTCTGAGCCTGGTCAAAGATACACGCCCGCGCAGCTTCGGCGGCACGGAGGGAGTGTCCACCAAGTGCTGCGTCCGAAAAGTCCGACGCCTCAGTAGGATGGTGCACCCGCAGCTCTTGTTAGTATAGGGGCTGGGACTCCAGCCCGATCTCAAAGCAGTGTGGTACGGCAAGGTCGAACGTATGGTGTCCACTTCGCCACGCCTCTCACCCGTGCCTGTCAAACAGACCACATCAACGTAGCGAAACTCAACAGATATATCACAAAGTCGCTCCTCGGTGCTCGCGTTCTGAGCATTCCAATGAATATACTTCATCGCATAAAGCTCGAGCGCCGCCGAGAACGCCCAGAGAGCCCATCGCCAGCGCAGCAGCCGCATCGCCGCGGGCCGCCGCCTCACCGTGGGGAGGACACGCCATGCGGGCGCGAGGTATGAATGCGCATCCTTCAGCGCTGCCGCCCCAGAATCGCCAGCCTCGGGCCGGGGGGGCTAGGAGGAGGAGGAGGAGGATGATGAGGAGGGGGAGGAGGGGAGGGGGAGGAGGGGGGGGAGGAGGGGGAGGAGGAGGAGGAGGAGGAGGAGGAGGAGGAGGACGGGATCGGTTGAACGATACCGATGTGCGGCTCGGCTGTGCATCGCCGACGGCTCGGGGGTCGGACTCCGACGGGGAGCCCGCGCGTGCCCAGGCGGAGCGGGCCAGCGAGCCCCCGCCGGCGAGGCGTGGGCGCCTGGGCATCGCTGCGTGCCTGCCTCCCGGGCCGGGCGGGACCCGTCCCCCATCGTGCCCACCTTAAGTCGGGCCTGTCCCCCTGCAGGGGGATTTTCGACGAAAAATCCCAAATACTCCAAAAATACACCCAAAAAGTAAAAAAACAAAAAACAGATCCCCGGACTATCTTTGGAGCATGTTTCAATTATTTGTGGGGTATCTTTTATTTTTCGTGGTAAATCCCCCTGTACGGGGACAGGCCCGACTTAATGCCAACCATCCATGTCGCATCCAGGTCGAATGCGTCGAATCCGTGTCGACTCCGTGGTGTCGAGCCCACGCCGGATTCACGCCGACTCCGCGTCGAACCCACGTCAGAGCACAGGGGGAGGCTGCCATTCTCGGGTCGGGCGACAGGGGGGGATAGCAAAGGGGGGGGGTGAGAATCAGCTCGCGTAGCTGATGTTCCCGGCGCCTCCCGGCGCCGGGAGGCGGCTGTGTATCGAGGAATGGGCCCCTCGGTGGGGCCGAAACCAGCTGCATGCAGCAAATGTCGCAACCCCCTCTTTCCCAATCCCCCACTTTCGCCCGGCCCGAGCCTCCCTGGGCCCAGCACCCTCTGGCGTTGCCCCTGAGCCTGGTAGACGACCTGGGTCAGCCTGTCCAGGACGGAATCCGACGATCGCACGATCCTCTCGTGCTCTGGCGGGAAGGCGTCCACCAGCAGCCGGAAGATGGCCTCCAGGAGAGCAAACCAAACAGCAGAGCACAAAACACACGAAAGAGCACAGCCGTGCTCCGCGCGCCGTGGGCCACGGAGGGGGGCTCGGCGCGGATCCACGCAGTCCGCGCGGGCCTTCGAAGGTATGGGATGTGTGTTTGAAGGGGCCCAAGGGCACACAAATAAATACACACAAATAAAACTGTTCCCAATATTTTCCAATATTTTCGGGGTTTCTGTCTTCCCCCCCACTTCCCATAGTTTCCCATATTTCCTGGGGAATCGAGGATCCATTGCGTCTGTGTGTTTTTTCCTCTCCTGGTGTGTGTTGTTCCTCCGCGGCCTGCACCAGGGCCACCAGGATCATGTCCAGGACCCAGGTCGAGGACCGCGGCCTGGACCCGCGGACTGGGCCCATGAGGTCCAGCGTCAGGGAGAACCTGGGGCAACAGTGGTGTCATGACACGACTTGCTCACTGCTGCGACCCACGAGCTCTGCACTGGCCATCGCTCGGACGTCCATTCCCAGTGTTTTTTTCGGATTCGTGCGTGGTTTTTTCGCCAAATGATCAAGGATGCTCCTCGATGGTCCTCGCCGTGGAAAAAACGCACACGTCCGAGCGATGCCTAGACAATGATGTCATGACACGACTTGCTCACTGCTGCGACCCAGGAGCTCTGCAGTACCTGGCGCCCTTCGTGTCTGCAGCCCGGGCGGAGCCCGTGTGGAGCCTCAGAAACCTGGGAACTCCTGGCACTCTTTGGGAACACATTATCCGGTGGCAACTCACGAGAGCCTGCCGTACAGTCTTGCCTGCTCCTGCGAATCGACCCTGATCAAAGCTAATATCGACGCTGAATCGACGCTAAATCGGCGCTGTCCCATCGACTATGAGACGCTAATCGACGCTAGACACGGAGCTAAGAGGGCACACGAGGCTGACACGACTTGCAACCGAAGCTTGCCGGGCGCACAGGGGGACAGGGGCAGGGGGGGAGGCTCCCTAGAAGGGCTGCTTTCTAGAAGGCGACGGCCTCACATGTACAGAGAAGGCCCGCGCCTTCTAAGAAGCATGGGATGTTTCTCAGAAGCCTTCACCCCTCCCCCCACGAGAAGCATCATGATCATGACTTCCTCTGGGAGCCAGCTGTGCGCCAACCGGGTCCGCAGCTCCGCGTGCGCCTCGCAAGCTACGGTGCCGAAAATGGCCCCGACCGCCAGCCAGAAGAGCGACGTGCAGATGACCCGCACGGCCCCCAGCCCGAGCGCCGCCCGCATGGCCCGCCAGTGCCTGTTGGCGGCACGCACAGGGGAAGAGGACGAGGGCGGAAGGGACGGCTTCTTAGGAGGAGGCTGATTGTTAGAAGGCGCCAGCCATACATCTACAGACAAGGCCCGCGCCTTCTAAGAGGCAGGGTGCTTCGAAGAAGCCTTCCCCCCGTCCTTTCCCTCCCATGCGCGTGGCTGAGCCTCACCGCGTCGTACTCCGCCGCCTCAGCGGAAGAGAAAACCGCACTCGGTCAAAATCCCAGTGGCAAGGATGCCAGACACCCGGGTTTCCCATGCACCATTTAGAGCTCCTAAGACGTGGGCATTGGCTCAGGATTGGCCGAAGAAGCAAGGGCTCCTAAGTTCGCGCTTCGCGCTGCGCGAAGCGCGAATAACTTCGCGCTCTCGCGCCGCCCCCCAAGGGGGAGAATAGGAGGACGAGGAGGAGGGGGAGAAGGAACGAGGACCGCGAAGCGCGAAGCGCGAATAACTTCGCGCCCTCGAGGGAGCCCTTGAGAAGCAGGGATGCAAGGGTAGCCTTGATGAAACAACGCATCTTTACCATGGATTTTGACTGCAAATGAGCAGAACGTGTCCGAGCTCCGCGCTGATTCCTCAGTTCGGCGCTAACCCCCCGGCGGCGCCTCCGGCGCCAGGGAGGGGAGCCCAGCGCCGATGTGAGACACCCGCGCGGAGCTCCGAAAACTGATGCTTGTGCGTTTGCTTTCTTCTTCGACGCCTTGAGGCCGTCCGCAAGGTCCTTCAGCGAGCCGGACTTGAGGTCGCCGATCCCAGACTGCGCGCCGTGCATGCCAGCGCACGTCTCCTCCAAGATCTGGGCCACCGGCAGCTCGAACGGCAGATCGCTGGCCGAGGTCACGATGACATCGAAGAGGCTCGTGCGGGCGTCGCCGAACTGCGGCTTGTGCACCGGCATCTCCTGAGCATCGCTGCACCGGTCCCTATCCCCACCAGCGTGGCCTTGGCCCCGCTGGCCGACTTGCCAACCCAGGCGGGGACATGTGCCTGTTGCTTCGGGCCTACTTGCACAGAGAGTGTTGGGTGCCAACTCATGGGAACCTCCCATACCATCTTTTCGGCTCTTGCGAACCGACGCGCAGCGACGCTAAATCGACGCTAATCGATGCTAAATCGACGCTTATCGATGCAAACTGACGCTGAATTGGCCCTACAGCAACGACTCCCAGACGCTAATCGAAGCTAATCGACGCTAGTCGACGCTAAAAAAGAAGTAAGAGGGTGTACCAGGCTCCCATGACTTGCTACTGACAGAGTGTGGGGGGGTTGGCGAGGCCCGAAAGGAAATCTGGTCTTCACGCAAGCTGGAACTCGCTTGCAAGACGGCTGGTCCCAGCGCTGCTTCAAAAGTCTTCGGGGTGGGGGGGACGAGGGGGAAAATGGCATGCAAGTAACCTTTGAAGGTCTTTAGATCCCCCCAATCAGGTGTAATGAATTATTGCTTCGGCTAGGTTTTTGAAGCAGTCCCTTTCACCACCGAGAGAAACAGGGGGGCTATAAACTGAAAGCCCTCTGAAGTTAAACTTGCCAAACTTACTTTTTACTTCGGGGAAACAAATAGCAAAGCACACGTGATAAATCATGACAACGAACTTCAGACGCGATGCTGATCTCCAGCGCCGCGTTGGCGGCCGAGGCGCAGACCTGCTGTAGAAGGCGGCGGGGAGAAGTGGGGAAACGCCATGCAGGGGGGAAATGCCATGCAGGGGGGAAATGCCATGCAGGAAACCCTGCCAGACTTTACAGACCTCCCAGATGGAGTCCGAGGCGCTGGGGTCGGAGGATCGCGCCGCATCGCCGATGCATCGGCGCCGTCGGCGTGGAGAACATAGGGCTCAACATCCAGCCGGACCGCCGATGCATCGGCGATGTGGCACCATCCTCCGACCACATCTACGGCCTGACCTAAAGCGATAGCATCCCTCAGGAACACGAGACCCTCCGCTGGCCAACCTGAAGAACCTTCGAGGGTGCCCTCCTCTGGGATGCACAGGAGCATCCAGCAGACACGAAGAGCAGCAAGGCAACCTCCCCAAGCCGATCTCCATCTTATACGTCGTGACCGTGTTTTCTTTCCGGGTCGTTACCATCGGGAGCGGCCAAGAGGGGGGTGTCCAAGAGGGGGGGTGCAAATCATGACCGGCGGCATGTGCGCGGCCCAGCGGGGGGGCCAGGGACGTAATGAAATAAGAAGGGGCGCCATGAAATCTGCGGAAAAATCATGGCCCCCGCCATGAGATCCCCCCCCCCCTAGTCATCACCCCTCTCTTTTCCGCCCCCGATACCAAGGGGGGGGGTCGGGCGGAAAGGTCGCGGCAACGGCGGCCGCGGCGTGCATCCGCCAGGGTGCGTCCGCGCGCCACCGGCGCACCGATTGCCCGTGTGGCCCCACCCGCCCCAGTACGATTGTTAACGGCACCCGGGGGTGAGGTGTGGTGTGGGGGGGGGGCCCTGGTAGCGCGCGCTACCCCGAGGAACAGAACGGCTCACGACCCTGGTCCGACCACCCTCCCCCCACTTCGTCCGGACCTGGCGCCCTAACCTTCCGCCCCCTGTTTCGCTATGATCCACGTGGGTCTCCTTGCATTGCGTGAGGTTTCCAGGAGACAGTCTCGATGCATCCTTCCGCACCTGCCGCGGAGGTCGGAAGGGATGGAAAATGGAGGTGGAGGAATCCTGGGGAGGTGGATGAAAAAAACGCCCACTGCATTGGTCCGACCGTACCTCGACACCATCTGGGAGGCCTGGAGCTCATCTCTGGGGAGACCAGAACGTACCGATACCGCTACTCCCCGGACCTCTCCCGGGGTGCGCTCTGACCAGAACTTCGAGGCGAATCCAGCGGAGGCGACGAGGGCCTCCCAGGAGGCCCAAGAATGGAAAAACGAGGGAAAGCTGGAGGAATGGGTGCCTTTTCCTCCGATCTCCAGCGCCGCGGCGGCGGCCGAGGACAGCCTGCGCCCGCCGCCCGCCGCGGCGGCCTCCGCGCGGCCCGTGGTGCGGCCCGCGGCCGAGGACGCCCGCGCCACGCCGCCCTCCGCCGCGGCCGCCGCCATGCCGCCGCCCAGGCCGGGCTGCCCGCCTGGGGTGCTGGGGCGTGGCTCACATGCAGGGGCCCAGGGACACGCACATGAATACGCGCAAATCCCAGGACCCCCTATCTTTCCCCATACTTTCTGGGCGTCAGTCTTCCCCCCCACTTCCCATGCATACATCCCCAGGCCGAAAGTTTTTTCCTCTTGCACGGGGACTCATGGATCCATTTGGATCCAATTACGTGCGTGCGAGAGTCACGTGAATCAAATTTCCGTGTCTTCTGGATCCACTTTTTTGGCGTGGAAGCTTCGTGGATACAATTCTTTTCCTGGAATAGATTTACCTATACGACCAGCCTTCGGGTGATAAGGAGGTTCGGGGGGGAACCAACGTCTCACTCGATCGGTCTCACTATCGATCTCACTATCGATCTCACTATCGGTCTTTCTCGATCGATCTCACCATCAATATCACTCGATCTATTTCATTCGATCGATCTCACAATCGATCTGACTATCGATCTCACTCGACAATCGATCTCACGATCGCAATCGATCTCATCGATCGATCATCATCAATCGATCATCATCATCATCAGATCGGGACACCGACGGGACACCGGCGGGACACCGGCGGGACACCGCGCGGCACCGGCCCCCGGAGAGGAATCATCTGGTCCAGCCGCGCCTCAGCCGGAGGCGGGACACCGGCAGGACACCGCGCGGCACCAGCCCCGGGAAAGGAAACATTTGGTCCGGCCGCGAGTCAGCCGAAGGAGACTTTCTTCTTGCCCGCCCACGCAGCTTCGCCTCGCCCGCACGCACGGCACGCACGAACACGAAACCGAAACCGATTTCCTGGTAGGGGGGCTCGCCGTTCCACTTCGATCTCACCCCCTCACCTCCGATGGTACTAATTAATACAAGGGACCCAACGGGAAATGGATCCACGGAGCCTCGGACCTGCAGCCCAAGCTCTGATTCTACGGGGGAGGGGTTCCCCTACCGAGAGACACAACACACGGGGACGAGTAGGGAAACACAAACCAAGGGCGGGCGAAGGGGAATATGAGGGAGGAAGGACGGAGAGGAGGGAGAGGACGAGTCATGTGGGCCTCAAGAGGAAAATCTTTCGGCCTGCTCAAGTGGGATTTTGACCCCCGTCTCCCCCCTACGTGTACTGTGCCGCCACCGCCCCTGTGCTGAAAGGCAGAAGGGGTGCAAAACTCTTCAGTGGGGTTTTGACCCCCGTCTCCCCCCTACGTGTACCGTGCCACCAGCGCCCCTGTGCTGAAGGGCAGAAGATGTGCACAACTCTTCATGGGGTTTTGACCCGCGTCTCCCCCCTACGTGTACTGTGCCACCACCGCCCCTATGCTGAAGGGCAGAAGGGGTGCAAAACTCTTCATCCCCAGGTCGAAAGGTTGTTCCTCTTGCATGGGGACGCATGGATCCATGTTGATCCAATTACGTGCGTGCGAGAGTCACGTGGGTCAAATGTCCGTGTCTTCTGGATCCATTTTTTTGGCGTGGAAGCTTCGTGGATCCTAATTCTTTTCCTGGAATAAATTTATACTAATAATGAATACAAGGGACCCAAGGGGAATGGATCCACGGAGCCTCGGACCTGCAGCCCAAGCTCTGATTCGACGAGACACAGCACACGGGGACGAGTAGGGAAACACAAACCAGGGGCGGGCGAAGGGGAGCATGAGGGAGGAAGGACGGAGAGGAGGGAGAGGACGAGCCATGTGGGCCTCAAGAGGAACATCTTCCGGCCTGCTCAAGTATTTTCGGTGCAGTCGGACCTGGGACAGAAGGACACCCCTCAAGAGCACGGGGCCCTCCGCTGGCCACACGGAGGAAAATTCGAAGGTACCTGAAGGGGGCCCAGGGACACACACACACACACACACACACACACACGCATACACACACGAATCCCAGGATTCCCCATATCTTTCCATACTTTCTGAGGTCCCAGTCTTCCCCCCCCACTGCCCACAGTTTCCCAGATGTTCCTAGGGAATCGACGTTGTCCCCCTCCCGAGTACCTTCGGACCTGGGGACAGAAGGCCACGCCTCGAGAGCACGAGGCCCCCCGCTGGCTACGAGGCGGAACGTTCGAAGGTACAGGGCAGTTTTTAATGCATAGAATATTTTTTGTTATATAAAAAACATGGGATGTTTAATACGTGACTGCTGTATGAACAAATTGATACAGGAACTCATCTTTGTTTTTACTACGAGATCCCTGCATTTTAAATACATGATCCGCACGCGGAGCATGTATAACAAACGGCACTGTACCCCCCACCAGGATGCACGGGCGCATCCCGCGGGCGCGTAGTGCGCGCGGGCACCCTCCCCGAGCCGCCGCGCCCGGCGGGCGCACCGCACTCCTGGCGCGCCTGCCCCTCGAGGTCCAGGCGGACGCAGGTCTCGGCAGCGGGTGGCGTCCCCGAGCCGACCTCGATCGTCCACGGTCCGACTGCAATGTCGGTGGTAGCACTTCGACTTCGGCACCGCCCGATCCCAGGGCTTCGCCCTCTCTCGGCCTTGACGTGAGGCCCCCCTTCTGTTGCCCTCCCTCTCTAATGAATGCTGTGCGCGGCCCGTTTAGCATCTATCGGAAGAGGTTCGCTCTCGCCCCGCAGATCAAAACATGTAATGTCGGTGGCGATCAGTGGGGCGCACAGGGACATACGAGTGCTACGTGTCCTCCTTGGAGGCGCGCGTCCGACCCGAAGCTACGTAGTAGACCCACCTTGTAGCATACATCGTTTCCCCAGCGGTGTGGCCAGAAAGCGCCCGCCACGACGCATATACTATACGATTTCTCGGTGCGCGCGTCGCCCCTGGGGAGCGACGCACATGTAGTATAAGAATATTGGGGTGACGTCGAAGAAACGTGCAACTTGCGGGTGCGACAGGTTCTCTTGGAGGGGCGCGGGGCCGCCCGTGCGCGCTCTGGATCAGTGGGCGCGCAAGTTTTTCAACGGCAGCGCAGATCTCGGTCGCGCTCGGGCAGGATCCTTTTACCAGGCCACGTCGGCCTGCCGACCTCGCGACAGACTAGGAAAACGTTATACCTTGCGAGTTATTTTTTCTGTTGTTTTTGTTGCTCCCTCTTCTTCTCCCCCCTAACTCCCCACCGGCGATCCCCGCCGTTCGCCCCCCTCCCCCCCTGCCAAGCTCTGGCCCCGGGCAGGGCGCCCAGGAACTTCCCCGGTGAGCTCCAGAACCTAGCTCCGAGGGACATCGCACGGTGGCTGAGCGCGACCAAGACATCGAGGAGAGACTGGGTCGACGCCCAGACAGGCAGCGCGACCGCGAGCGATCTCCGCGCAGAGGGGACGCCGACTTGTCCTCCTCCCGTGCGATTCCGGGCGCGCAGGGAGACGCGCGTCCTGCGGAGGTCCAGGGGTCAGAAGGGGTGTTCGCCACGGGCCGCGGGGGGAGAATCGCCCAGCCCAATCTCGCCGCTGCCGAGAAAGCGAAATTTGACACTTCAGACGCCTCCGAATGGAACGACGTGGCGGGTTCCAGGGCCGTGCGAATTACACCTCGCTCCTAAGCCAGGGAGTCGCCACGCAAGCCCAGCGGCCCCTGGGGCCCTTGGCCTAATCCTGACGCTTGGCGCCCTTGCCCATGAGGCTGGCGGGCACACGGGAGCCGTGATGACCACGAAGGGCCTGAGCAGCACGGCAGAGCCGAAAAACGAGACAAGCTCCCCCGCGCTTCCTGCGAAGCCGCCGATGCCGCCAAGGGGATGATGGCCTCAGGCGACGCTTCTCACTCGGTATGGCCGCCCGCCTGCCTCCTCCGCGAGCGGCCTCACCGCCGCCCCAGCGGCCGCGAGCGCGCCAGACAGCGCCTGGGGCTGGAGGCTTCCGCGATGGCGGGCCCTCCCGCGCCCCCGCAGACAAAATGGCTGCAGGGGGGCAATGGGGGGCCGCGCAAGGAGCCACCTAGGAGGAGGTGGAGGAGGAGGAGGAGGAGGACGAGCAGGAGAGGGAGGAGGAGGAGGAGGAGGAGGAGGAGGAGGAGGAGGAGGAGGAGGAGGAGGAGGAGGAGGAGGAGAGGAGGAGGAGGAGGAGGAGGAGCAGGAGGAGGAGGAGGAGGAGGAGGAGGAGGAGGAGGAGGAGGGGAGAGAGGAGGAGGAGGACGGGTCGCCCGAGCCCTTCGGAGAAACCCTCCATCCCCAGGCCGTGCCGAGGGAAATTAGAAGATCCGCCCTAGCCCGAGGCCGCACAACAGTCAGCTGCACCGGCTCTGCCCCAGGGCTGCCTTTTTTCCTCTCGAGCCAAGTTCTGGCGTTCCAGAGCCCACCTGGCGGCCGAACGCGCACCCAGGATCGAGCCCGCTCGGCAGCCGAGCGGGCCAAGATCCACCTCCCCGCTCGGGTTCGAACATGGAGGTGGGGACCTGATAGGGAGGGGCTCACGCTCGAGACCTTCTTGCAATCAAGTCACACACAACGACTCCTGGTTGGGTTGTCCTCAAGATGGCTGTGCGAGTGCGAGTGCGTGAGTGTGGGTGTGTGAACATAGTGATCTATGACCAGGCTGGAATGATGATAGTGATGGTGGTGGTGGAATGGCGACGATGGGGGACGAAGAGTGATGAGCAGCAACCAGCGATAAGTGATTAGTGCGGGTGCTGATTGTGATGATGCTGATGATGAGAGGGTGATGATGGTGATGCTGATGACGACGATGATGTTGATTATGATGACTTGTGGAAATACGTGAGTGTGTGGGACCGTGTGTGAAAGCGGAGTGAGAGCATCAATGCGTCTGAGATGGTGTTGGTGGTGATGATGGTGGTGATGATGATGCCGATGCTGTTGGTCATGATTTGGTGGCGAGTGAATGAGTGAGTGAGTGAGCAGTGTGACGATGCTGCTGATGATGCTGCTGCTGATGATGGCGCTGATGCTAATGATGATGATGGTGGTGATGATGCTGCTGCT